GGTCTTGACTGTAGGCAGTAATCGACACCTTGTAAAAGATCGTGTCAGTGGTGGTTGGGATCAGTCTTGGTTACAACCGCTGCGATATTTCCGCACTTTCTTCGTTGTTCAGGTTGACAGACGCTGCTTTTTTTGTTTTGTTTTGCACAATCAAAAATACACAACCATCCACTGTGCCCAAACTCCCCAACTCAATATTTCTTCCTTAAATCAGCATTTCGAAATCTCTTTCTCATCAAGTTGCTTTGTCTGAATAATAATAACGACCCGTTTAGAAAGAAAAAAAGGCATGGAGTTTCAGTTTCCTCTCAGTTTTCCTGAGACGATGGACTAGAAGGTCAACTAATCGAAAAGGCAGTGTTTTGTGGGTAACTGGATATGTGCCTACCCCTATTTTGCTACCCATTTCTAGGAATGTACTTCAAACTAACAAAATCATCTAAGGATGACAACTGGCAGGTGTGGGACATGGTGCACAGTACACCTACGGAATGGACCTGCTTGTGTTATTTCTCTATCATATGGCAGTATAAAGCATTTTATTATCAAGCACTATTCTAAGCAAACTTTGTCACTAAAGGGAAAGGGTGAGAAGTACAACATGAGTGGATATATGCTTTATCCCATAATATTCCCATATAGCACTCCTACTATAGCAGTCTACTCTTTGTTGTTATTAATGGAACCACTACCCCGATACAAAAATAGATCTAAAGGAACTGAACTGTCTGTCTGTCCTGTGACTCGTCTTCTTTCCTCAGTGATGGTATAGAACATGATATATTTTAACTATATTTTCCATCAGGTCGAATAGTTTCTATGGAACTTTTGAAAGGTGGTGGTGGCAAGTGGTCGAAGGAGCTGATGGGGTGCTCTTCTGGAATTTACTTGGATTTGTGGGGTTTGGGGAGACGATGGGAAATGGCAGGTGGGCATGTGGAGGGAATGGGAGTATTACTTCTTGGCAGTCAGGGCTGCGAGGGCGGCATCCACCTCCTCCTCTGGCTGCAGCGGATGCCACTGGGCGATGGGGCGACGGGGGTTGGCCAGCATGTCGGACCAGTGTTTCAGCCCGGCCCCCGTGGACTTGCTTCCCACCCAGATCTTCCCAATGGCGTCATTCTTGCCAATCTTGTCATAATCCAGCACTGTGATCACAGCTTGGATTTTCTGCGAGAGCGGGGGAGAGATCATTACAACACAATTCAGTGTGCTGCGAAGATTAAAAACTCGCCAGGGCTGGAGAGATGCTCATGAAATCTAAACCCCAAGTCATTCTGCACTGTGCCTAGTCTTTAGGCCTGGAATTGTCTTGTTCAGTGTTTCCTCTCCGAATAACTTTTTTCTCTTTAGATGTCAGTTTTAATGACTGATTTGCTGTGTTTTATATGGAACTCAAATAATGGAATGTTTGTTGTCCAGCTTATCTCTTCTTTGGATATTTAATTTCATTGTTTGTTTGTTTTTCAATTCAGTAGGTGTTTTCCATAATGAAATATAAAGAGCTATGATATTTTTAATGTGGTTGTAAAAACAGTAGTCAGCCTGGTTATGATGAGAATGTATGAATCATCAGCTGGACATTTTGGAATCCTCTCTTTTATGGATTTATTTATTGTTCTTATGAACAATGAACAACTCTAGCAGTCTAATGTTTAAATGTTACAGCTCAATACTATATCTTAAAGCAGGTAAATCCTGTATAAAAGAAGAGGTAAACAGGTACAGTGCTTAATTATTTTTTGAGTAAAAGCAGTCACTTCCTGTATTCAATTCTATTCAGTTCAAAAATACTTTAATTTTTCTAAAATATTTTATTGATCACAAAGGAAAATTTTCCATCCATCCATCCATCCATCCATCCATCCATCCATCCATCCATCCATCCATCCATCCATCCATCCATCCATCCATCCATCCATCCATNCCATCCATCCATCCATCCATCCATCCATCCATCCATCCATCCATCCATCCATCCATCCATCCATCCATCTAACCAACCAACCAACCTAGGGACAATTTAGAGTTATCAATTAACCTCCATGTTTTTGTTCTGTTGGAAGAAACTGCACCAGAGAAAACCCACAGGTGCATGGAGAGAAAATGTAAACTCTACACAGAAAGACAGTGCGRGAGATTATCTTGAAACCCTCTTGTTGTGAGGCAACAGCGTTAATCACTGTTCTGCCGTGCTTCACAGTGAAATCACAGAAATCACATTCTGCTGACCACCTGCTGGCAGTGTCTTCATTTGGACCAGGTAGTTAAGACTGGTGTGATTTTGTGGAAAAACATGAAAAAAGTTAAAGCTAGTACTCAGTAATTTATGTATGGTTGAATTCTGTAGTATTTTAAAAGTTAGCATTTTTGCACCCTGGTTTTTAATTATTTATTCCCGTCATGTTTTTATTTTGTTTTATTTTTTTGGTTGTTGTACTTTGTTCCTGTGGTTTTATTGTATTACTATATTCAATGGACATTTTAAATCTGTGAAGCAGTGCTCTTTAAAAACCAAGCAAAGTTTCTCACAAGGGAGACAAAAAAAAGAAATCTGACTTGATTTTGCAATCAGACACTTGTCCAAAAAGCAATACAATATGTTCACCAAAATTATTAAATCTGATATTCAGCTAAAGACTTAGGCCAAAAGTGCAGAAGAGGACTGAATATTGGCTCAGTAATAATCATTACACCTAACAGCCAGGAATCTGTTAAATTAATCTGAAAATACTAGTTTTAAATGTTGCCAACATTTTTTGAAGATTGTTACAAATACTAATCAAATGAGAACTGTAGTAAACTTGTTAACAAAAGTTGCCATTTTGGGAGTTGAGTTTGTGACTCCATCTGGAGATTTTTGATACTTCCATTAACAAAGTTTTTGCGGCTTTAAAAAAGGGGGTTGTACCCAAAAAGTGGGAAGGTGAAAGGATTCTGCTCAATGCAAAAAGTCAATCAGAATATTTATAGCAGCAGCAGCAGCAGAAGAAAAAGACAGATCAAATCAAACAGGGCTGTGGCAGCATTACCACTCTATGGATTTTAAGCCAGGACATTTGCTTTTGCCCTAAAACATGATATACCTTGTGTTTAATAATAACTGACACTAAAAGCTCAAGATGATAAAACAAATGTGAATAAAATAAAATGTTACTACATTGTTTGATTATTATTTTCATCATCCAAACACAGTTTATTAATGTGAGTTTGGATGATTGATGATCTGTAGAGGGCTCCACTTTATTTCCAGCTTGTTGCAGCAACCTTGTGATATTATTTTATCATTGGGTTGGATTCTTTGTGGCCTAATACTGTTGGAACATCTGTCACTTTATTTTATTATCTATTAGAATGAATCATAATGCCATGGGGAAAGTTGTTCATGTGTCTACTGGGACATTTACCTGCCTAACTTCAGTGCTGTAGGTGACATTAGCAGGCACAAATGCAGCACATAATGATCATCATTAAACACAGCTTTTTTTAACTTTACTTTCCCATTGTCTTTATTATGTATCTACTTTATGTATTTATATATGTATTTGCATGTCTATCATTAATTTATTCTTATTATATCTTAAAATAGCATTATAAAATCCCATTGATGATTAATAAAATCTTTCAAATTTACTTTAATTGCATGATTTCAATARCAAAATCATTTCAATCTTATAGTATAGACAAGGACTCGTCACTGTTGATCAGTTTTAAAGGTTTATAAAAAACTACTATCTCACCTGCATTTGCTCAAGAGGAATCTCAAAGCTGAATGACTCGTTGTAGTACGGATTCAGAGTGTTCTTCTTCACTGTCGTCTTCTTCTTCTTCAGCCTCTTTCCATTCTGCAGCAGGTTAATCTTCACGTAGGGATCTGAAAACACAGACGGCGAAATTATGGGAGCGGGGGCAAACACTGGGCGTGTGTGGAAATCTGGGTTGCAGTGCTGTGAAGCTCCAACAGATGGGGCTACTGCTAAAGAAAGAGGGAGCACGGTGGCGCTTCATGGTGAGCACTGCAGTGTCAGCACGTGAGCAGCAGAACAGGACCAAAGTGATGGATGAGCCTCACAAACACACACCTTTCACACACATTTGATCCTCTCTTCAAGCAGGGGTGTTTTCGCCCAGAACCCAGCGTCGATTCAGTGTTAAGACATTGCTCGGATCTAAAAAGTAGCCCACCTGATAGTCCACCCACGTCCATTTTCTTTAGGTTCTTAGCCTCCAGAATGCAGATGGTGAGTTTGCCAGCCGTGGGGACGTAACGTAGGGAGATACAAATGTCACCCAGCTTCTCTGGCTAAAAGGGAGGAGAAAAGAGGAGGGGAGAAATATCAGTAAATTCCCCTGAGAGTTACTTTGTCCGTAGGATTTATTTACATCTAGTTGTTCTGTAATTAATTTGAAAAATAATACTTGTAGGCTGTATTGATGTAGAGCGAATGTGTCTTCTCAAGATAGCTCTTGGGAGGAAGTTTTATTGATTAAGCTGAGTTGCTTATATTCCAGAGCAATGAAAGCACTACATAAAAAGATGCAAATCCACCAAGGAAGCAGTGTATAACTTATTTATTACATCAACTGGTTTATGGAAATAAACAAAACAGATCCTTTAGGTCTTAAAGATAAAAGTGGCACTTCTCCTCAGTAGGATGTCTGTACATCAGATTGGGAAAATCATGGAAGAAAACATCCATTTATTACACTGTGTTTCTCTGTACATGCAAATCACAAGAAAAGTTCTGGTTCTTCAGTGAAAGTAAAGCCCTCACCTCTTCTTGATCTGCGCTGTCAAGGTCTCGCCACTCTTCGATCGGCTTTGCCAAGTCCAGGGTGTTCATGGGTATCTTAATCTCTCCAATGATGTCATGTTTGGAGAAGCGATCAAAGTCAAAGACGGACATTACTAGAGTCTTCCCTCCCATCTCTTGGAACGGTATCTGTAAGCCAGCAGTGAGTTCCATCTTTAGTCATTCATAAGCAGCAGAAATGTTATCAGAGCCACTGCTGCCCTTCTACACTCTGGATCTTAATATTTAATGGCTACACCAACGGTTCTTACTATAATGTAAATGAACTATAGCTGCACGCAGGTCTCACATTTTTATCGCTTCATGCCAGATTATGTGTACAACCTGCCACATGAGAGCAACTCTAGTTTAGACTTTAGATGGCTGTTTATCTGTTGGGCTTTGTAACTTGCTGCTTCAGCACAACCACTTGACATTGACAGACTCGTAAAGCTGTTGATTTTATTTTATTATTTTTATTAAACAGAGCTGAGTCAGCAGACACGATGTGTCGAAGGTGGCTCTGTGCTTTTATATGATTATTTATCACACTCTCCTTCGTCTGACACCTTCAGTGTGTCTGTCTCTTTTTATCAATGTTAGACAGAAGTCAAAGTGTACACTAATAATGTATTTAAGTCATCGGTACCTCAGCAGGACGAGGGGGAATGGAGGAACAGAACGTTATTTACTCATCAAACAGCTTGTTGGATGGGTTTTTTTCAGTGTTGTATAAAGTACCACAAAGTGATACTTGAGTAAAAGTACAAGTATCTTACCAAAAAATTACTTTGGTAAAAGTTAAAGTCTCCTTTAGGAATATTACTCAGTGTTGTATAAAGTACCACAAAGTGATACTTGAGTAAAAGTACAAGTATCTTACCAAAAAATTACTTTGGTAAAAGTTAAAGTCTCCTTTAGGAATATTACTTGAGTAAAAGTCTTAAAGTATCTGATATTTTTTGTACTTAAGTACTAAAAGTTAAAGTATTGATTTAAAATGAGCAGTTAGATTTTCTGTAATGACATTTATTAGGAGGTGACCTCCCCAAAAAATGCAGAAATGACTATATTGTATTAAAATAAGTAATTTATGTTAAATTTAGTTTAGCTGTTTCAATTTACACACATTTATCAAGGGTGCCCAAAACTTTTCCCCAAAATAAAAATCTGAGGGCTGCAGCCAAATACATTAAAACAGTTCATGAAATACAAATACTTCTTAAGTACTGTCCTTTTATTTTAATGATTATGTCCTGCTGGAGTGTGACATGATTTGTTTGTGTACAAACTAATAT